ATGTATGCATTACTGTTGTGGTATACATCTAAAATATTTCTGCAAAATCTTGTGTTGATTTCTGAAAATTTGTTGGACCATGAGGCCCCTTCATATGTCTTTCAGTTGGAGAAAGGCTGTGGTCTCCTTGTTCGTGCTGGCAGTTGCTGGTCGTGACTAAAGTGAAGAATCTAGCTGAGGTTCGGGGCCTCAGCTCAGCTGCTCTGAGATCGACTCCTTCTTGGCATGCACCTGGACACAGGTATTTCTTTCGTATGAGAAAGAATAATGGAGGGTGGAGGGGCGAAACATAGTCCTTTTTCCTGGTAAGTTCATCCTGTTCAAAGTAGCTTCTCCTTTCAAACACAGTTTCTGGCTCTTTCTTGTAGCCAGTTGGTAAAGAAGAGAGATTCTGCCTTAGCTGGGATCAGGCAGGATTTCCAACTTCTATCTCCAGGACAAGGCTATGGAGGTCACTGAAGAGGAGGCTCTTTTGAGTCTTCCAATGTCCATCTGCTCAGAAGAAAGGCTCAGCCATTCCTAGGGCTTGTCACTATTGTTCAAATGGAAAATTTTGTGTCTAGGGCACCCTAGTAGTTGGTTATATTCTTCCATACATTGAGATCTATTGAAAGCCTGTATGGATGCTGCCTTCTCTGCTTCAGTCTTGGATGGGATGATGGATAGAAGATTTCACATAAACCTGCCTGCATGCTAGCTTCTCTACTCTAGATTTTGCTGGGGTGGTGATGACAACAGCACCGCAGGTTCAGTGGCCGCCGACCAGGCATCAGGCCTCTCCATGCCAGCCCATCTGGGCTTCTCCCCATACTCCATAGAGTAAACAGGTATAGGAGGATCCGTGGGCAGCACTGCTGCTAGAAAGAAAGCTAGAAATGATCAGTCACTTCTGCTTCATACATTGAGCTTCTAGGACCTACCCTTCTTATGTGCCTTCCTGGCTGCAGCCTGTTAATCTACTTTGTATCCCAAACATAGACTTGGTCTGTCACTTCTATAGGTGGCCTAGGAAGGGATGTCTGCTGTAAAGAACTTGGGTTTCATGGAAAGTACAGCAGCCAGACGCCAGAACGTCTGTCCCTCATTCTGACAGAGAACAAAAGAACTTGAAAATGGGACATCTTGCATTTCTGGGTACCAAGATTAGGCTCAACGTGTCTTCTCACATCAAACCAGTTCTGGTCTCCAGGCTTAATAGGAAGTTAGCTCTCTCCAGGCTTCATAGGAGGTTAGTTCTCTCCAGGCATTTCAGAACCAGCTGTATGACAAAACCCCCACCCTAGTCCTCAGCAACTAATACTAATATTGTTACTGGGCCCAAGTACATGTCTTCATGACAGCATAGTAAAGATGCCTGAGTCTCAAGGTGAGGTTTATTAGACATTTTCAACAGATCTTCAAATAGTTCTTATCTCTTTTTATTCAAACAAAAATGTTTATGAAAGAATAGACAATGTAAACAAATAACCAATCTCACTTCCTTGTACTAGGTGGGACCAGTCTGACCCTTTAAGTGAAAAATACCCTTGTGCTTTATTTAGCATAATAAAACTTACTGCTTAGACTTTACCAAAAAATTTCTCCCTTCACATAACTTCCCTAGCATTATGTAAGATTTGTCTATTTCCAGATCTTGAAGTTTCTCCATTGTAATGTTTGTACAACCCATTTAAAAATTATGAATGCTGCTTGTATTTCATGTTCTGATTAAAAACTCACAAGCAAAACACAAATAGCAAGGCACACATCATGTGTTATAATAGTATTTGTTTTGGAACATCAAAAATAGCAGAGATCCTGAATATAATTTGCTTAAATCATAAATTCTGAGATTGAAATAGGCATGTACAAATCACATTTAGGCTCCATGAACTGAAATCTCTCCATAAATACATAGAAGTACATGTGAAGTACAAAGCAAGGGCAGTAAACATGAGTGCTCTGGAATTTTGGTCCTCCCAACTCATCAGATTTCAGGTTGAGTTAGCTGAGGATGTTCTGGGTGAGCATCACATCCAGACTGCCTTATGGGACTCCTGACAAGTAAACTGCTTCCTTTTCTCCAGGGCCTCCTTCAGATCAGTGTAAGTGATCAGGGTTTGCACTTCAATCACAGCTCTTTTCCTGGCTTCCCAAATGCATGGCTTCCCTTCCAATCTACTTCATCCAGCAGTCCAGTCAAACCCTGCAGTTCTGTCTTGACACTCAGGTACAATTCAGGAGGGTTTTGAATTTAAAGAAATTCATTTTTTAAATTTCTTTTATCCTCTTGAGAACCTTTTCTATTTTCAGAGTGGAATGGGTGCTGGGCCTGGTGGCACATGCCTGTAATCCTAGCACTTGGGAGGCTGAGGCAGGAGGATTGCTATGAGTTTCAAGCCTGCCTGGGCTACAAAGTGAGTTCAAGGCCAGCCTGAACTGCACAGTGAGAAATTCTGTCTCAAAAAGGAAAAAAAAAAAAAAAAAAAAGGAATGGTTCTGTCTCAGGTCAAATGTGTGAGTAGTGTTGGCTTCCTCTTCTAAATCCAAATACTTCAGGAATTTGTTGATATCTTCAACTACTTCCCTCGGATAGTTTCTGGTTTTTGAATGCCTGCACATATCTAAAGTGTCCAGATCAGCAATCAGCCCTGACAGCACATGGTAAGTGTTATTACTATCCACTCCCATTAGAAGCGCAACCCTGACACCTCTGGTCTTGTCCACTTCACACATTGCAGAGTTGATTTTGGTGACGGAGGTATATACATCCTCAGAAAGTAGGAGGGAAAGCTGCTTTTTCATGCAGTCTCCCATAATCTCTGGCATGCCGTAAATTTTGGTTAGGGTGTGAAACCTTACTTTCTGCAAGGAGAGCTTTCCTCCAGTTTTAACATGTGTCAGCCTCAGAATGATAGCCTGGAGGCCTTCCTCAATTTCGTCACTAACGCAGTTGCCTCCTCTGTAAAAAGGGGCGATCTTCTGTTTCGTGAGGCTGTGGGCTTCCTTGGAGATGTTCTGCATTCAGATCCGACGTGGGTGGTTTTGCATTCTGCTCCAACTCTTTGAGGCCTTGTCTCCTGTGATGCCCTCTTCCTAGGTTGCTGAATGTTTCCTTTTCCTTCTGTATCTAGAGTCTGTTTCAAAAAGTTGCTTTGTTAGAATCCTCCCCAGTTTCTTGTAATTCTTGTCACTTGGCAGACCGCTGAAGCTGATTACTTGTTTTATACTTTTTCCTTCCTTTTGGATATGCTGGAGCCTAGCAATGAAAGGATGTTGGTTTTCTACATCTATACTTTTGTTATGTTCAGTTTCACAAGCACTCCCGCGAAGGGTCCGGAACGGCTGGCTTAGGATATGTTCCCCTATCTGGAGTTTTTATCCAGCGGCTCCCTCGAGGCGGACAGCCCGCTGAGCCAGTCCAGCAGGCGTATGAGTGCGGCGCTCGCCCCTTCTCCCCACGCGCCTTCACAGGCAGCAGCGCAGAGCGCGGCCCCTCCGGGCATCCCCTGCACGTCTGGCTAGGGCTGACTGGGGCAGCGGCGAAGGTGCCGGCGCCGCAGGTGGCAGCTACCAGCCTCACACCCACTCCGTGTGTCGCCCAGCCCAACCTCTCCACCATCTGACTTCACAATAGGCACGCGGCAGCGGTGGTCTGTGGGGAGCCCCGAGCTCTAGTTCTTCGTATCTCTTTTTTTTTTTTTTTTTAAACATACAATGGTCTAATGGTCTTCCTATCTCTTGACAGCCAAATACAATTTGCTTTTGCTAAGAGTCTTCTGAAGGAAAGGGTGGGATATATATATATATATAAATAAAATTTTTAAAATGAGATTTTACTATGTTGGTCAGTTTTATTTTATCCTTGTAGCTCAGCCTTGTGAATAACTAAGATTATAAATGCCTCCCATGTACCCAGGTACAAAAGAAGCAAAAGCCAAAGGGGAGGGATAAATTGATAAAGATTTGGGGCTTTCTAAACATATGGTCAGAGATAAATGTCCCTAGCCTGCACATTGAGCAGGAACTCCCTAGGTCCCTGGCAGGGTTCCTGGTCCTATTTTATACCTTCCTAGGGAAGATTGGAGGTACGGGACGAAAGGACAAAAGGAAGTTGTGATGGCCACTGATGTGTGTACACCACGGCCTCATGTAGAGATGCCTGGCCCAGGCTTACCTGCTGCACTGCCATCCCATGGGACAGATGACGAGTTAGCCTGAAGATAGATGATCTGGTCAGACGTTCTCTTTCAGACAACTGGTAACACGTGTTTAGGAGAAATCCAGTAGTTAGGTTTCCCCACATTTGAGTAGATTCCCTGAATGGAAACCAGGAGGCCCGTGATGTCATCCCTACCCACTGAGGTCCCGTGTGGAATCTCGAGGTGATGGGCAGGCTCGAGGCCCTCAGTGTGGGGTGGTGGAGATCAGGGAGAAGGCAGAGGAAACCTTCCTGAGTGCCGCAGTCCTCCCTCCCCAAACTCTCATCAATAGCCACTTTTTGTGTAGTGTTCCTATGGGTGGCCACACCCCCAGTGACCATAGTAGGGGAAGAAAATCTCAAATGGTGATAATGGTAGGAGAGTCAAGATTAACCCAAGAGATAAGTTGCACAGCTATGACTGTTAGAATTCAACAGTTAGTAGAAATTTGGGTGGGTTAGGGTATGAGCAAAGACGCCTCAGAGGTGGGACTGAAGCATATGTGAGATTTGGATATGTGCAGAAGAAAGACATTACAATTGAAAAATACAAAGGTAAAGACAGTGTTGTCCTAGATTTTTCTTCCCCATGTGTATGTTCATAGAAGTCATGTTTTTACAAACGAGTTCTCAAATATATATATATATAAAGGATGTTAAAGGGCCTAATCAAGGTAACACTGGTAGTAGAGTGAAGTTCTGCCCAACAGTGGTTCCATGTTGTTTGTACTTGGCTCAATATTTATACCAGAGAGTACTGTGTGGACAAGCTCATCACATTTTGTTTTTTTTTGTTTTTTTTTTTTGTACCAGGAATTGAACTCAGGACTCTGTGCTTGCCAGGCAGGTGTTTGTGCCACTGAGCTATATCCCTGGTCCAAGTTCATCACTTTTGAAAGTGCCAGACCTGTGGAAGGACGTACAAGTTGCTTCAATGCAAATGAAGACGTCCACTGGCTTAACAAGGTAAGAATGCAGGTGTATTTTAACATGAAATTCAAAATACATTTATGGCATATTGACATAATATGAAATACAGCCTTATTATTTTACTCCTCTCTTGTATAAAAGGCAAACAATAAGGTCAGGGATAGAGATCAGTGGTAGAGTCTTTGCCTCACAGACATAAAACCCCTGATTCCATCACAGCACCAAAATTCAGTCAACAAATAGAGTCTTTTTTTTTTTTTTTTTTTGTCTTTTTGAGGCAGGGTCTCGCTATGCAGTTCAGGCTGGCCTTGCGCTCACTTTGTAACCCAAGCTAGTTTCGAACTCGAAACAATCCTCCTGCCTCAGCCTCCTGAGTGCTGGGATTATAGGTGTGTGCCACCACACCCAGCAACCAATAGTCTTTGAGAAGCATGTCTAGGAGTATGAATTCTGTGAATTCATCCTCTGTTAAGGTAATTATTTTGAAGGGAGTCCTAAAAGGACCATGTATGTTAGAAATAATGACATAATACAAACTCAAAATTTAAAATCTACTTTAGCTTTCATGTGTCCTGGAAAACTCTACCCTCCGGTGATGGCCTATAGCTTCTCATTTAGGGCCAGAAGCAGGTCAACAGACCCTCAGGGAGTAGACCAGGTAGCCCACTGCCTCCTGCTCACAAGCATGCTCGTTACCCACCTATTATCCTGAAAAAGACCCCTATGTGGCTTCTAATTTAAACCAGCCAAAATCGGGCTTTGTGGCAGTGTCCTTCCTTAAGGATTCAAGTTCTGGAAAGTTTTTCCTTCAACAAGCCAGCCACTCAATCTCCTGAACCAGGCTCATGCTCCAGATGTGGTTACAAAGTTGGTGATGGTGTCTGACACCTCTTTCCGCAGGACTGACCCTCACTACTCTGCAGATATCACTTAACAGCATGAAGTCTATGTCATAATGGACCACCACTCCCCAGGGTGCTGCTCAAGCCCAGAGAGCCTATGTCTGTGTAGAGAAGTATGTCTCTGAAAGGCCTTCTGGAAACACTGGAAGATCCGTTCCCCCGTTAGTGGGCATTTGCTCCTGCGGCCTTCCATTATGGATTTTATGATCTTCCAGAACATATCCTAGCTTGTTGTCCAGTCACTAAGTTGGTCATGCTGGCCTCTAAGTTGTGATTCTTCTGCGTCAGCCTCCTGGTGTGCCGGGATCACACGTGGTCAGTCTACACTTGGCTTTCTGCTGCGTCCACAATGTAGTGTTGCTGGAGGTGGAGGGAAAACTGGGAGGCTTGTGAGGTAAGAGCTGTTTCCAAAAACACATTCAAGTCTTTTACTGGGACTCAGATCCCCTTTGCCAAGCTGTGATTATCAGTTGGTTGGAGAATTGCAGGTCATGGAAACTCTGCTAATTCCAAACCTTCTCTGGTGATTTCTTTTCTCTACCAACAGGCATAGGGAGAGGATTTTAACAGCCTCACTTTAAAGGTGAGAAAACTGAGCAGCAGGTAGGCAAAGGAACTCAGTGATGCCCACCTGGCAAGGCACATAGAGATTATGTGAATCCTTCTACTTCTGTAGCAGAAAAACCAATATCAAACCAAATGGAAGACTCTGCACCAAGGAGTTAGAAGGAAACTTTTATTACGCTAGGGGGCTGGGGAAGCCAGAGGCTCAAATCACCAGCCCAGAGTCAGGTTTGAGCTCCATTTAAATAGGGTTTGTGGGTGGGAAGCACAAAGCCGATAGCAGGTTATTACATGATTGGTTACATGGAATACAAGAATTATGTCATATATTGTCAGGCAGGTTTGCTTACGGAATTGTTTAATGTTCTGGGAAGGACGGGAGGGGGTGTGAGTGAAGCAAATAGAGTTAAATGGGTCTTTGACTGGGTCAGTCTGTTCCAGACATGAAGCCAATATATTTTTCTAACTAAGGAAAACACAAGCTGGACACAGTCAAGTTGGCCCAGGGCATTATCAAAGAGAAGTAGATGGTCAAGGCTGACTCTCTGCGTGACAGGCAGCATGAGCATAGTCACAGGCTATGAACTGATTTCTAACAGTTGCTATAATATGCCTACAAGTCTGCTATTCTATAAGTGTGCCCTTACATCTTCCCCCCGTTTTTACTACAGAAGAAAATCTTTTTCCTCAGTTTCCTCAGCTTCTTCAGTGCTAGGGAGCTGATAGGATGGAGTAGCTTGTAAAAGAATTTGTGGTGCGTAGCTTCAAAGAGTTCTGTCAGGACCTGTGACAGAATACGGATCACACAAGGACCCAGGAGAAGTAGTGCTAGGACGGCCAGCACAGGTCCCTAGACAGCTCCTGTCTAAGAAGGGAGAAAATCTAAGGATCCCCATTAGGAAGAACCTCCCATTAGATTTGGAACCTTATGTTTGAGGCATTCCTACAGCTGGCGGGAGTTTTCTCTTACTATTCCTGACTTCTTAGCATAGTAACAACATTTCTCCTCTGGGAAAAGGCAGATTCCTCCATGTTGGGCAGTCAGGAGATCTAAAACTCTTTGATTCTGGAGGACAACTACAGCCAAGGAGTCTATTTGGTCTTGCAGTGTGTCTATGGAGGTCTGTGTATTGGCAAATTCTCCAGCAATCTGAGCACTTAACTGTGAGTATTGCTGTTGGCTTACACCCACAGCTGTAGCCCTGAGTGTTAAACTCCCTGTTATTGTCATTCTGGTTAACAGGGGCAGTATCACAGAGTCATGTTTCTGAGGTGATGTGCAGGTCCCTTGCTGTCCTGGATAAACAGACAGGTGGGGTAACAGAAAAGCAAGTCTACAAAGACTCATTTTTGTATTATCAAATCCCTGATGTATCCCATCAGCACAAACAAAGAAAGTCCCAAAGGGAGCTGCTAGGGAACCTGAAGTGACAGCCAATATCTCCATACAGTCAGCAGATGCATTTTGGCCCTTCCTGGAACCTAGAAAACAAGAGGTGCTTCCCTATACTGTCGTAGGGTTGGGCTAAAACAGGCGATCAGGAGTACTGGTTGAATTAAGCTTAATATTGTTCTGAATGAGAACCAAAGGTCGATAGGATAGAACTGAGAGGGGGGTTTACAATGTTTCAGTGTTTGTCGCCAGTCTGGACAAATGTACTTTGTATTAGAATGACACTCCTGTTCCCAATTTAATTCTCCACACCTTGAGGAATAGCAATGATTTTTCCAGTTTGGGAATTTGGCCTGGACTGGGCATGTAAGATTCAAGAGCAATCAGATCTGGAAGAGGAACTATTACTTGGACAGCTATTAAACTGAAGTATATTGAGTGGGGAGCATTTTTCTCTTAGCCTAATCATCTTTTTAGCTTTGGCCTCCAAACCTCAGTTGTTGAACACCCAGAAGAGAAGATCAGTGGCATTAGTATTGTAGTGGGTTTAATTATTATAATTTTATTTAAATATCAAGCACTTTGAAACATAAAGTATAGCAAAGGACTGTTACTTTTATCAATTATGGCTGACCTAGCAGTTGAATCCCTGCATAATGTCAAGGGACAGCAGTTACACAGTTTTACAAAGAAAACCTGAGATCAAAAGCCACATATCATATTTTAGTATGTCAATCATGACATTATTTTTGTAATGCTTTTAAGTCTCTATCTTAGTATTGAGTAGAGTAATACACAGCATATACATCACATAAGTTTTTTAAGGCTATTATTTCACGGGTAATCTCACGTTGATTTGACCATTTTCCTCATGGGGGTTTTTAGAAGGAACAACCCAAGCTCCATCAAATGAACAAGTGGCCATACATATATTTTTCCTTAATAAACTATTTCTACAAGCTTTCCCCAACATACGTAAGCTTTCTAGTCTTGTCATTTTCTTTCTTTTTATCCCCTTAGCAGGACAAGGCTTTTATCATACAGAATCCTCTCACATCAAAAGTATATCTTTTACATTTATAGCCTCCTTTAATATTTTTTCTACCACATACTATAACCTTTTACAACAAACTTGACTGCAGCCACTTGAATTTTAAAGTGTCCTCTTTTTTTTCCCCAATAGTAAACTTGATCAACTGACAGCAGACCTCTAAGTAACCTTAAGTCAGTGTTTTTATTTGCCTTTTTGAGACAGGGTGTTGCTATGCAGTTCAGGCTGGCCTTGAGCTCACTTTGTAGCCCAGGCTGGTCTCGAACTCGCAGCGATTCTCTTCCTTCAGCCTCCCGAGTGCTGGGATTACAGGTGTGCGCCACTACGCCCGGCAGTGTTTTTATTTTAAAACAACAGAGTAAAGAGCAAGTTAACCCTGTAAATTCAAAACTTTTTAATGTACCATAAATGCTTTATGCACATAAGCTCAAACTGAAAACCAAAAGTATAATTGCCAGTTAGTTAAAATTTGTAATTTGATTTCTCCAGTAAAACTTCCTTAAGTTCGACAAGACTTTGGCTATTCACCCCAGGCTGGAGTTGTTCCACCTTTCAGATGTCTGCAGGGGGCACCAGGCTGGTGACTGTCAAGCAAGGGCTGGCCTTGAAGCTCCTGAAGCAGGGAGGAGAGCTTCGGCCATTTTTTGTTTTGTTCCCTTACCAGCTTTGAAATGAAAAGATAACACGTTTTGTCCCTGTAATCTCAGCATGCATATCGGGGCCTGTCTTTTGGCTTTGTGTCTTCGTTATAGCTTAGCCATCAGGTCAGCCAGCTTTCCAGTTGCTGTTTCGCTTTCTCTTTTATTAGCCTATCTGCATCATCCATCTGTATATTTTGGTGTATTAAATCAAAACAGCTTTTTCATGTCTTTACACCTTACAGTGAAAATAATTTTTTTCAATTACTTTTGTTTTCAGTTGTTTAAACCGCTTTTTTTCAGTTAGTTGAGTCCAGGTTACCTTGGACTTATGTATTCTATTTTGTGTACAAATATACACACATTCACACGCAGGCACAATCCCATGGGGAGGAAAAAAAAAAAAGATCTAACTGGAACAGCAGCTGCAGCTGATTACTCTGACTAGAGCAGGAACTGGAAGTGGAACAGGTGGCAGATGCTGAGGAGTGATCAATTCCTCCTTCATCCCTCAGAGGGGAGATGGTTCCAAGCAGGTACCAAGCAGGTACCAAGCAGGTAAGCAGGTTAACTGTGGGACATAACCTCGGGCAGGCCTACCTTGTCTAAGGGCCCGGTCCGGTTCCATCGTGACTCCTCCCAGGGTCCATTGAGGTCTCTGCTGTTCTGCAGGGGCCCCCTCCCTTGACTGCTGAGGAGACTGGAAAACAAATTCAGAGGGCGTGCCTTTCTGTCTGCAGATCAGAGGATGGGTCCCAGCAGTAGCTGCAGGCCTGTATCGGTGACCTAAGCAGTCAGCAAAGTGTCTTCCCAGCCAGTGCACCAGAAATGTAGCAGAAAAACCAATATCAGACCAAATGGAAGACTCTTTGCACTGAGAAGTTAGAAGGCAACTTCTATTATGCTAGTGGGCCGGGGAACCTGGAGGCTCAAATCACCAGCTCGGAGTCAGGTTTGAGATCCATTTAAATAGGGTTTGTGGGTAGGAAGCACAAAGCCGATAGCAGGTTATTACATGATTGGTTACATCAAATACATGTATTATGTCATATATTGTCAGGCAGGTTTACTTAAAAAGTATTGGAGCCCGAGATATAGCTCAGTGGTACAGCGCCTGCCTGGCAAGTGCAAGATCATGAGTTCAATTCCCAGTGTAAAAAAAAAATTGTTTAACATCTGGGAAGAAGACGGGATTGGGGGTGAGTGAAGCAGGTAGAGTTAAATGGGTCCTTGACTGGGCCAGTCTGTCCTAGACATGAAGTCCTTGAAGCAAGTTGGAAACAAAATATATTTTTCTAACTAAGGAAAACACAAGCTGGACACAGTCCAGTTGGCCCAGGGCATTATCAATGAGAAGTGGATTGTCAAGGCTGACTCTCTGTGTGACAGGCAGCATGAGCATAGTCACAGGCTATGAACTGATTTCTAACCTTTGCTATAATATGCCTACAAGTCTGCTATTCTATAAGTGTACCCTTACACTTTCAGGTAATGTCCCTCTCACCAGGAGGGGCCTCTAACTCCTTAGAGCCATCCATTTGTCTACGCATCCTTTGCTATCACACACTGGGGCTGGCACATGGATGCATATGCCATGAGGAGACTAAACAAGTCTTCACTGACTGCGCTTGGAATCAACATGCTGTTCATGGGCAAGGTGCACCTTACAGCCCTCCCCCTGCATTCCATTTAAGTGCACATAGCCTCCCTCCTCGTGCTGGCTTCACGGCTGCCCCAAGCAGGCCTGTTATCAGGTAGCTTGATTTTAGAAATGATTCACCAATTCAATGTGTTCTGGGTCCTTCTCCCCTCAAATAAAAAATTGAATGAAACAAGCCAAAATTTATTTGAAAAGAGGGGTGAAGGGTTAAGGGAGCAACTGGCTCTGCAGAGCAAGCTTGGGCTGAACAAAGAGAGGAAAAGGTAAAAGCAAAAATGAAAGTGTACCCTGGGTCCGGGAGATGCAGGGTGGGCTACCATGAAAGGAACAGGAGATCAGTTCCTTGTGGAGTCTGTGTCCTTATATGCTTCAAATAATCATCTATAAAGCACAGGCAGGGAATTTTTACAACTCCTAGAGGCAGTCCATCTTAGGGAAAGAAAGAAAGAGCTCTGAACCTGTTGATCTCCAGCAGGTTCAGATATGGAGCCCTGGGAATTATTTGGCACTGTCCTGGGATCTTGTAATTAACAGGTCCAGCTTGTTCCACCAATCAGCTTTGCCACACCCTGCCTTCCTACCTCAGGCCCACCCTATGAACTTAAGTATCTGAGCTCACTGCTGCCCATTTAGACGAGTATCCGGCTGCACCTGAGATACTTTTATCATTTTACTTTTCTTCTTTCTTTTTGTTTCAGTTTTGGGCTTTTGAGGTAGTGTCTCTCTATGGCATGAGGTTGGTCTCTGACTGAAGATCCTTCTGCCTTGGCCTTCTGACTGCTGGAATTACATGTGTGAGCCATCATGCTGAGGTGAGTTTTCCATGTTAAGTTTGCTGACTGCATGTGTCCTGGTGACATCTTACATGTTTGTCTGTCTCTTGATTTTCCTATAAACTGGTAATTGTGCCAATCTTTTATGCATCGATATTTCATTCATTCATTCATTCAAGGCAGGCCCCAAAATGTTGCCTATGCTGGCCTCCATCTCATGGGCTCAAGCCGTCTTCCTCCATCAATCTCTCATAACTGAGACTACTGGTATGGGCCAGTGTGGCAAATATAAGAAGCATTGCCTGTCATCCCAGCACTTGGGAGGCTGAGGCAGGAGGATCACCGTGAAGTTAAGGCCAGCCTGGGCTATGTAAGCTAGTTCAAGGCCAAGCTGTGCTACATAGTGAGACCCTGTCTCAAAATAAATAAATAAATAAAATTTTAAAATATATAAACTTCAGGTCTTCATCCTATGCTTTCTTGGTCTGGCCTAGGTACTGGGGATCTGTCATTCCTAAGAGCTCTTTTTTTTTTTTTTTCCCCTAAGAGCACTTCTGTGAGCATGTTTTTCTCATGTGTAAAAACTGGCAACCTAACCCCTCTAGTAACCACAAATCTGTTCCCGTCACATCCACTATATGGGAGGGACTATGGGAAGTTGATAGCAACTTTTGGTGGGGACACTGTTTGAACCTCAGGGCCTGTGCCTCTGTGTTTGTTTGTTTATTTTGTTTTGTTTTTTAGTGGACTAATTTTTAGTTTAAGAAAACTTTTTTTAAAAAAATTTTGAGACAGGGTCTTGCTATGTAATTCAGGCCGGCCTTGAACTCACTACATAGCCCAGGTTGGCCTCAAACTCACAGTGATCCTCCTGCCTCAGCCCCCCAAGTGCTGGGTGCTCAGCAAGAAAACTCCTGAGTTACAGGTTCTTCCTGGCATTGTGAGTGTGCGTGTCAGGAAGAGGAACAACAGTTTGCTTCTGTAGCATCTCAGGACAAATATGCTGTCCGCATGGTGGGACTCTTCTCTCAGGGCTGGGGCTATGTGTGGATCACGGTGCTGTCTCCTCTTCTGGACAGTGGATGTGGCTGAGCTCTAGACATAGGCCAACCCTGTGCCCCTCCTTCTCTGCTGTCTCATTTCCCGTTCTTCAGGGCCTCAGGTCTCTCTACCTGTGGAGAGAGAGATTCTTTTGCTAACGAGCAGCACCTTACTGTCATTGCTCAGAGTAGCTATGGTGATCTTGTTAGCATCTACATCACATTTCTCCCTTACTCTGTCCATAGTTCTGCTATCTCTTCCTCCCACGTCCAAAAGAAGATCCATACTCTTCTCCACAGTGCAAATGGTCACATCTACCACCCCAACAGCCTTTTCCGTTCTAGTACATGTAGTACAGGCAGCGGAGAGACCACGCCCCTCCACTCATGAAAGTTTGGGCAACATCAATGGCCCAACCCTCCTTCTCTTGTTACCTGTAACTTCATCAGAGTGAACTTGGAAACTCCCGTGCTTGTTGAAAGCCCCTACTTAGGGTGACTCAGCACCCATTAATCATTCCTGTCAGTCTTACTTAAAGACCAAATGACAGGCACCTGGGCTGGGGTGTGCCTCCTTTAAGAAAGCCTGATTTATCTGTGTGTGTGTGTATGTGCATGAGTGTACATGTACATGTGCACATGCATGTGTGCACTTTTTACTTTCCTGTCATCCTGGCATCATTTTTCTGTTTATGCCATGTTTTTCTCAGCAGGGACCTGCCCTGAGTACTACTTCTTGTAGTCTGTGATAAATGTAGCTGCTTTTCATTTACCTGTGGATGTAAACTTGCAATTCTTTGCTCGCTGTATATCTGTCAGATCAACTCCCCCCCCAATCACTTGGTGAGTATTACGTCTTGTGTCTAGATGTCCCTTCAAAGCCTCACTTGGTCATGGGGGGTGCTTTTCAGATGTGGCTGGATCTAGAGTGTGTGATGCTGGGATGAAGGGTGTGTGATTACAAATTAGTCCGCTAGTTGGCTTGGCATAGTTGTGAGTACAATTAAGGGTGCCCCACCCTGGGTGTGAGTGCTACCTTCCCTATGGGCGTATAGCCTGGATAAAATATAAGGACAGAAAGAGGGCTGCTCCAGGCCTCACTTGTTGCTTGCCACTTTGCTGCTTTGCTGCCTTCTGCCTGCCGTGAACTGTTTCTCCTTTGTGATTCCCCTCGGCCATGCCACCCTGCCTCAGAGCCAGCCAACTATGAACTGAAGCCTCTATAAACTGCGAGCCAAATAACCTTTCCTCCTTTAGCATTGGGTGTTGAGTATTTGTCTCAGCAACAAGAAAAGTAACTAAAACAGTGAGCCAGCCAGGAGACGTTGGAAGAAAGGTAAATCTGTCTTTGGGAACATGTTTTCTCTCTTCTCCTTTTTACAAGCAACCAAGGGCACTTGTTGGGTAAACAGGACAGATTCCTGGGAGTAAGAGATGACTAGATTGTGGAGCAAAAGGCTTTGGCTTTTGCAGGGAGCAGGAGGGCTCCTGATTGGTTGGGGTTATATTTTGCTGCTGGTACTTTCAGCCTGGGAATTCCCCTCTAGTAGCCATGGTTTCCCATGCCTTGGGGGGACTGGACCTGAACCAAACCAAAGTGAGGCAGCCAGCAAGTTGCATGGCTGTCACGGGCACTGAAGAAATGGGGTTGGGATGACCTGGCCTGGACAGAGTTCCCCAGGCCAGGTTCACATAATATTATTGCTTCTCTTTGGAGGGTACAGTTGGCAGCATGCATTGGTCTGTGGGGATTTAGGCGGCCTCTTGGGTATTGCCAAAGGTGTTTGTGGGGCCCAATGGACCCTGTTAGCTCACATGGAGTGAGCTAACACTCCAGTGTCCTTCTTCGGTTTGTTTTCCTTCCCTCCCTGTCTTGAGGGAACTTCTGCTCCCTTCTTGTCCTTCCCTCACCCCTGGGCTTTGATCTGTCTTCAGACTCAAATTATTTGGCTTTCTGGTACTACTAGTCAACCGAGGGAGACAGAGACTTAAAATATAGAATACTAGCCTAGTGATTTCTCACATGGACAATGGAAAGAAAAACTTGTGGTCATTTAAAAAGGTGCAGTTTTTGTGCTGGGAGGGCTGACCTAAGCAGCCTGTTTTCTCCTGTATCCTAAAGCTGATCTATAGCTGTCTCCCCCGGCATTACTTCTCCAATGCTAGTTTGCTCTCTCTATTCTACTCGGTTTTGCTTTTGTTGTGATTTTGGGCATGATCTAGTGAAATGCAGGAGAGCTGCAGACAGAGGAAGAGACTAAGAGGAGAGAGATTCCTATACAAGGGCACAAGTTTGAAAATCTAAGTCCTATGTGGACCTCTGGCTGTGGCAGTTTCAGTTGTGTTTGCTTATTCCCTGTTTTTAGACTGTCACCTACTGGCCGCCAGTGGCTAATCATCCGTTACAGTACTCATTTCTCAATCAAAGGCTCTAAGAGCCACATCTGCAAGAAAGTTTTCAGAGTTTGGGGGTTCTGTTGAGTAAAGCACTTGCTACCCCTCCCTAGACAGGATGTTAGGTGGTTTTGTAGTTGTTTAAGAGGCAGCCCACCAGTACTGCGTCACAGTTCTGTACTGTTTGTTCAGAAGATGAGTTGTGGTCATAGGGGGAGGTCCAAAGGTTCAAAAGGAAGTGGTGCCGCCACCCATACAAGGCCAGATACTTCTGGCTCCCGAGTCCAGCTCTACTATGGGGCACCTGAAGTGAGAGCTGGACAGGGTTATAGATCTAGAGGATCTCCTGTATGATTCCCATGTGGAAATGATGCAGGAGAAGGCTCAATAAGGCTTTTATGACCAAAGCCCAAGGACTTCAGCTCTATCAGGTCACAGCCTGGGGCTGTAAGGCCCAGGATCCACCAGAAGATGCCCTACAACGTCCCCACCAATAGGCCGGGGATTGAGCCAGGGATAGGCCTGTTAAGATCCCACAACTTAATTTTTACTCCTATTTACAGACCCATCATGGGAAATGCCTCATCTATTCCTTCCGACTCCCTGCTCAGATGCCTCCTCACTCACTGGAAACATTCCATCTCCAGGTCCTTCAGAAAGATCACCTTATATTCCTGTGTACTAAAAATCTGCCTACATGTCTACTTGGGAAAAAGAGACATGGCTACTCTTCGGCAGCCCAAAATAACTCCACATTTCAATTAGGTCTTTTTTTAAGAAACAGGAAAAATAGTTGGAGGTGCCCTGTGTTCAGGCCTTTATAGCCTGCCACCAAAGTCCTGATCTTTGCCCTAGAACTAATCCTCGCTCAGGAGCTGATGCTGCTGAAGATGCGTTCCTGTCAGCTCCTCCTCCCCACAAGCTATCTCCTCACCAGTGCTCAGTCAGTGCCCCCAGGAGATAAAGGCCATTGCCTGAGCCGGCCCAGTGCCAGGTGTGGGTCTGCTTACCATAAGGGCGTGGATCCATGGAACTCAATAGCTAAGCCTGCCACCACTCTACCCCTCTACCTCTTCGAGAAGTGGCAGGTGGTGAGGGTAGTGTCCAGGTGCAGGTCATTTTTTTCAATTATGGATATTCAGTGATGCAAGGAAAAGCTGGGTAGATTTTCTGAGAATTCTGAAAAGTTTGCTGATGGTTTCCATACACTAACAATGTCCAGTTCATCTTGATTTATTGCTGCACAGCAGTGGAAAGAAAAGGGATTTTTAAAAAGCTTCAAAGCCAGCTAATGAGGAAGACTTCGCAGCTTCACCCAGCGATAATCAGCCGATTGCTGTGTTGTTTGGATCCCAAAAGGGGCCCGAGTGGGATTATAAGACAGTGGGTAGAGAAGCCAAATGCAAGTCGTTCATCTAAGCTATTTTAGTGGGTATCAAGGCTCTGATGAAAAATCCAGCTGCTTTTCTGCCTTGAAGAAGCACTCTGTAAATATACTAATTTAGACCCAGAGTACAGAGAAGGTCAGATTATCCTAGCACAGAATTTTATTAATCAGTTAGCTCTAAATATTAGGAGAGAGCTCCAAAAATTCCAAGAGGGCCCATAAGCAGGGATAAGTCAGTTGGTTGATGTGGCTTATTCAGTCTTTTTTTTTAATTTAATTTTTTTTTTTTTTTGGTTTTTCTCCAGTACCAGAAACTGAACTCACGACCTTGCACTTGCCAGGCAGGCACTTTGCCGCTGAGCTAAATCCCCAGCCCCGCTTATTCAGTCTTTAATGACTATAATGAAGCAGAGGACAAACAAGATGAAAAGAAGTAGGCTAAAGCCATGATTGCCCTAATTGATAAGGCTCAGGATAAAGCCACACTGCTAGGGGAAACTGAGGCAATCCAGAATGATAAAAGCAAGTCAGAGTGCTTCAGGTGCAAGCAACCTGAAGAGTGCCCTCTAAAACCACCAAACCCTTGTGGGGTCTGTCAGAACATGAAAAAAGACCATTGGCACTGGAAGAGGGACTGCCCTCGTCCCTAGAGCAGGATGAGGTCATCCGCTACCATGGCAGCCAGGGAAGAATGCTGGGATAGTGAATGACGACGCCCTAGGCAGCCTGTGTGGTTCCTGCGCAAGCTTACTTCCTTCCTTACTTACACCTTACAGGAGCCTCAGGTGACTCTAGAAGTAGTAGGCAAACAAATTACATTTCTCTGTGATACGGGGGTGTCTTATTCATTTCTAATTTTTATTGGAGGGAACTTTCATCTCATTCCAAATTTGTGGGCCTTGAAGGGGTTAGCTGGGAAGCTTTTGTTTTGTTTTGTTTTGTTTTACCTCCACTCATACTGCCAGTTGGAAGATTTTCTTTTTCAAGCTACTTTTTTTTTCTTCTTCTTCTGGTACTGGGAATCGAACACACGACCTTGCGCTTGCCAGGCAGGCACTATGCCGCTGAGCTAAATCCCCAGCCCCCACCAAGCTATCTTTATGATGATACTAGAGTACCCCATGTCAGTAATTGGAAGACATATACTCTTCCTATTCAAGGCCACTCTGACATCCAAGCCTCTGGCAACCTGTGTCTCTGCTGGGAGTTGATCCCCCATGATGTCTCTGCTGGGAGTTGATCCCCAAGCATGTATGATGGTACTCTGTGGAGGGTTGTTAAGGTCGTCCCAGTAATTATTCAGCCAAAGACCCTCACCTATACCTTCACAGAAGACAGTATTACTTTCAGAAAGAAGTGAGGCAGGGGCTGAAGCCCATTATTCATAGGTTTTGGACTACAGAGTTACTGGTGCTGTGCCAGTCGCCATGCAATGCACCCATTTTTAGCAATAGTTAAACCATCAGGAGAATATCCCCCCGTACAAGATCTCAGAGCCATCAGTGAGGCAGTGGTACCTACTCACCCATTAACAGAAGACCCATACACTCTTTTAGCACAGATCCCAGGAGGCACAAGATGGTTTTCTGTCCTTGATCTCAAGGATGCTTTCTTTTCTATCTCTGTAGATCCTAACTCCCAATATTTGCCTTTGAATTGAAAGACCCCCCCAGACAGGACTCACCAACAGTATACTTGGACTTCCTTGGCTTGGGGTTTTGGAGATAGCCCCTACTATTTTTACATGGGCCTTAGCTTAAGACCTGGGCCTTAGCTAAAGTTTAAAAAGGGAGACCTACTGGCACCCCACTCTTTCCAAGGTTCCACTGGCCCTGGAAACTGAACTCTGAATTTTCTTCCTGCCCTTGGGGTAACTTAGGCTTGTGCACTGTTTTTTTTGTTGTTGTTGTTGTCATTGGTGTTTTGTTTTGTTTTGGTTTTCTTTGGTCTTTCTGAGACAAGATCTCACTACGCAGTTCAGGCTGGCCTTGAGCTCACTTTGTAGCCCAGGCTGGCCTCAAACTCACAATGATCCTCTTGCTTCAGCCTCCTGAATGCTGGGATTACAGGCATGCACTTGTGCACTGGTTTGAAGAACTGGAATACTGCTGCTGAGGTGGGTATAGCCAAGCTAAGTCCATGTCCCTGCAGCTTTTGGGGGCAGAGGAGGAAGGGGACTGCTCATCATGTCTGCTGGCCTTGCTTCCTCTCCACCCAGCATTCCTGGTCCTCTGTGCTTGTCCCAAGCATCCATCCCTAAGTTCTGCATGTGTGCATATGCATCAGGAGCCCTGCCCCTGGTCCTCCTGAAGAAACTTTTGGGCACTTCCCAGCCTCCTCACCTTGCACTGCCCACCATCTGTGCCCACCACTCACGGTTCATTTGGAGTTCCTTTTCCCTGTTAGTCTGGGGCTCCCTGCCCCACTCCTCCTGCTTTTGTGAGATTCTTCTCTAAAGAGTCCCTGAGAACAGGGCCTGCTGAGAGCTGTGAACAGTTGTAAGCATTTGGTGCAGTGTGCATTCCAATTGCTTGTCTGCCCTCAGGCTGCAGGGCCTTTCCCAGAGCCTTCTTGTTCCAGCACTTTCCACCCGCAGTTGGTGCCCTCTGAGCCTTGGCCCTTGGTGTGCGTACTTCTCCTAGAGTGCAGTCCTGGTGGGTGCTCAGAACTCTGCCCGGGAACATAGGACCTACCCCCAGCTGGATCTCAGAGTCTTTTGTTTAAATGTCCCTTGAAAAGCACGGAATTTCATCATTTTGGGGACAGTGCAAACACCCATGCAGCCCAGTGCAGGCTGGGAATGGAGCCCACCACGTAGCTGACCCACCCACAGATGTTTCTGTGCCCTTTTCTGTCCTTGGACCCCACTGCAGATGATGCACTGCAGGCTCTGGCCTTGGGTCAGGAGCCTTGGAAGCATGGCAGAGCCCATGGACCATCCAACTCTGCCTCTTGAGTTTACTGTAACCCTTTGGGGTCTCCCAGGAAATAAGACCCTTGTGTGGTCCACCTCAAACCATGGCGGGAGCCTGTACCCACCCACTCCCAAGGGTCAGAGCAGATGCCCTGCAGGACAAGGAGAATCTTTGGCTATCGGGGAGTAAGAACCTTTGAGTAAGGTGACAAAATGGTGCTTGGGAGTACAACATTGTTTACTGGCCTACTCTTGGTGAGGGAGGTGGAGAGCACTCTGGAAAACGCCCAAATATCAAAACCCACCTCCATGTCCATGGATCATCAAGAAATCCTCAGAGGCTGGCCATGGTGGTGCATGCCTATAATCCTAGCACTTGGGAGGCTGAGGCAGGAGGATCATTGCGAGTTTGAGGCCAGCCTGGGCTGTAAAGTGAGCTCAAGGCCAGCTTGAACTGCATAGAGAGACCCTGTCTCAAAAGAAAAAAGAAACCTCAGAGGAGGAACACAACTCTTAGATCAGATAGTATGAGTTCCTTTGTCCCTACACAGGTAGGGCCAGCAGGAAGTAGCCATGGAAGACAGATCTTTTTACTTTAGTACCCCTTAATGATTTTGAGGGACCAAGTCTCTTGGAGGGAATAGTACAATGGGAGCTGGGAGGCCATTCCCTTTCCTCCCACTTGAGTTTGGGCAACACGGCAGGGCCAATTTCCCTTTCATTGTTACCTATTACTTAATCAGAATGAACTCTGGAACATGCAGGCTTGTTCCAGCACCTTGTTAACATTTCTGTTAATCTTACCTAGAGACCCAATGAAAAGGACCCAGGATGAAAAGGACCTCAAAAAAAAAAAAAAGAAAAGCCTGATTTATCTGTGCATATGTCCTTTTTGCTTTCCTGTCATGTGGCGTCATTTTTCTGCTTGTGTCTGTTTTGGTTACTTTTCTCTCATTGCTGAGACAAAATACCCAATACCCCAAATGAAGGAAAGAAAGGCTTACGGTTTGTAGAGGTTTCAGTCTATAATTAGCTGGCTCCCAGGCAGGGTGGCAGGGCACAGGGGCAACACTTCAAGATGGCAAAAGACAGCAAAAGCAGCAGGAGTAAAAAGGGGTAGGAGACAAACCTCTTTTCCTCCCTTATATTGTAAGCGGGCTACCCAGCCACACCCACACCATCTTCATGCCCTCCTCTTCCACAAGCTGGGGATGCTCACAAAGGACGGACCCTGGCCCCCTGCTGGATCACTTAGCTGAGCTCTTAAACTTCTCAAACTGATACAATGAACAACATCCTAGAGGGTAAGAGCATGTCCTTTTCACCCCAAGATGTACAACTGAGTTATTTAGTTAAGCTTCTACACTCCTCAAGTTGACACAAAGTAGCAACCATAACAGTGCCACATTTTTCTTGGCACCAGCCTTCCCTGAGTACTTCTTCCCTTGATCTTCAATAAATGTAGCTACTTTTCTTTCACCATTGTTTGCACCCTTGCAGTTATTTGCTCTTGTAACACAAGAGCTGGGACTCTTATCAGTTGGATCCACCCCCTGTATCAATTCTCCGTGCTTCCCTTCCTGGCCACTCTAGCCTGAGGGTTGACCTAGACTCTCAGTGGGTACATTTTTTCAACCTATTTTGCCTCCAAAATAGCAGATCAGCCTCACAGTGTTGTTGTAGTTGTTGTTCTGAGGATTGAATTGAGGGTCTTCCCACAGGTCTTTATCAACATCCATTTTTTATTTTTAATTTTGAGACAAGGTCTTAAGAAGTTGCTGAGTTTCTGGGTCTGGTCTCCCAGTGAGACAGGGGAGGAGTTCCTGGCTCTCTCATTTTCTCCTGTTTTAATTTGCATTTCTCAAATGTAAATTACCCAGAGACTGTCTGCCCCTCCTCTGTGCTTCCCTTTGCTCCCCTTTGCACCCCTTGGACTGGGACAGTTTGGTTCAGTGTCTTTGCAGCTATCTAGCTGTGTCCTCCCTGACTATCAAACTGCTACTCTCCACTCCAACATGAGCGCAGCCAGGCAGCAGTTCTCTTCCTGATGGAGACCACTATGACGCGGCTCTGAGCAGGATTAAATATTAACCAATTGGCTTTTCCTGTTTATGTGTGAGTTTGCCCAAGGCCTAGGCTCTTGTTTGGAGATGAGCAACAGACTCATAGTAAGTGAACCTCTATGAGTCGTTGGTCCCGGCTGAGGCCTATATTGGCCTGTGAAGTTGGGACTCCTCAAAGGACAAGGTAAGGCCACAGCTGAGGACATTTGGTTCCAACCCCAGTGAACTAAAAGGAGACTGTACCTGCAGACATCTCATTCCTCCCATGAAGGCCTTCCTGGAGATAACATAGTTATCCTAAATTAACATAGTGTATTACCTGGAGAAGTCCTTAAAGGGCTTCCCAAGTCCTGCCCAGAGTCCTGCATTTTCTTCAGTATCCCTCTCCTTTGTTTGAAAACCAAATAAATATGGGCTGCCCAGGGAAGTTCTTTGTCTTAACCCAGAGAATCTTGAATTCTGTAAGAGAGCTGGACCCTCCTGGAGTCCTAAAATCATATCAGTTGTCTCATTTATTTAAGCCTTGGCCATCCACTTATTTGGGAGATTGCAGGCCTGATCAGCCTGCAATAACTAAGGGTTATTAACCCAATATCTTCTCACTCTAGCCATTTTAGTAGATACTGTTTCTTTTTGTTTTGTTTTATGGAAAAAAGTAAAAAAAATTTCATAACAAACAATAGGAGAATAACAATAGTTAATACATTGCATATTTGTATTTTTTTTCATATTGTTATCTTTTAAGTAGTTACTCAGAGTACAAGATATGGGCATAAAAAAATTCTCCAATTGCCTGTAATCCCAGCACTCAGGAGGCTGAAGCAGGAGGATCTTTGTGAGTTTGAGGCCAGCCTGGGCTACAAAGGGAGCTCAAGCCCAGACTGAACTGCAGAGTGAGACCTTGTCTCAAAAAGAGAAAAAAAAAATCTCCAGTTGATATTAGTACAAACCTTCCTTTCCAATAAAACTAAGAGACACTAGTAGTATAATAATAACTTGTATTTTTTTCTTTTCCCTTCCTTCCTTTCCTCTTTTTCCCATCCTAGTTTTTTTTTTACTGTTGGATAATTTCTTCCCATTTCACAGTATCTATTGTCATTTTAGACCTTATTTACTCTTTCAGTTTCTTACATCAAGGAGATAATCTGATGTTTATACATGTGAGTCTGACTTATTTCACTTATGAGTATGGTCTCAAATTACATCCATTTACCTATAAAAATCTCAAGTTTATCCTTCTTTATGGCTGAGTAGCAGCCCATTGTATAAAAATACCACATCTTTTTTACCCATTTCTCAGTTGTTGGGCATTTGGGTTGTTTCCAAGATTTAGCTACTACAAATTATACTGCTATAAACATAGGTGCCCATATATTGTTGTAGTGTGATGTTTTTAATTCTTTTGGGAAGATACCCAGAAGGGAATAGCTGGGTCGAATGGGACCTCTAATCCTAGCTTTTTGAGGAGTCTCCACACTGATTTCCACCGTGCTTGCACCAGTCTACACTCCCAACAGTGGCAAAGGGCTCCTTTTTCCCCATAGCCTCGCCAGCATTTGTTATTGGTTGATTTCTTGGTGATAGCCATTCTTTCTGGGGTGAGATGGAATCTCAGAGTTGTTTTAATTTGCATTTCTTGAATGACCAACTTTGTTGAACATTTTTTCATACGTTTATTTGTCATTTATATTTCTTCATATTTCTGAGAAATGTGTATTCATCTCAGATGTCCATTTTTTGACTGGGTCTTTGAATTTGTGGGCTCTGATTTTTTCAGTTCTTTATATGTTCTAGATATAAGTCCTTTGTTTGGGGGACAATTGGCTACAATTTTTTCCCACTGTATGGGTTGTCTTTTCACTCTGTTGGTGATTTTTTTTTAAGTGCAAAAGCTTTTTAATAAGCTGAGATCCCAGTTGTTGATTCTTTGAAGTATTTCCCTGCAGGTTTTGTTCATGAACTCTCTCCCTATACCTATGTCTCCAAGATTTCTACTACTTACTTTTTCAGATTTAGTGTTTCTGTTTTAATATTTAGATCTTTTATCCATTTTAATTTTAGTTTAGTGCATGGTGATAGACATGGGTCTAGTTCTAGTCTCTGGCATGTAGAAATCCAGGTTTTCCAGCACCATTTATTAAAGAGGGTTTCCTTCTTCCAGTGAATATGTTTGGGTCACTTGTCAAAGATAAGGTGGCTGAGTGTGTTTATAGTTGTGTCTGCATCTTCTAATCTGTTCCACTGATCTTCAGGTCTGGTTTTTGTTTTTTTTTTTGGCCGGTACCATGCTGATTTTTTCATGATACTGTTGCATTTTTGAAACTAGAAAGGGCTTCCTGCCATTGCTTGGGTCAAGAAGGAAGGTATCTGGGCCCCTTATTTACATATTCAACATTTACAGCAAGCCTTCCAGATGATTTCTTAGTTTCATCTCTTATTAAAATGGGCCTTCAGGCTGCTGTGCAAGTAGCATTCCCAGGAACTTCTTGGGCTGTAGTCCAGGAGGGCTCTCTCATCTATACTTCTTACCCTGTCGTGAAGCACAGGCCTTGTTGAAATAATTTTATGCTCCTATAAACCTGCTTGTGATTTATTTCTCAGGTAGTGTGGGCTCCAGAAGTCTGGTAAATCTGCTAAAGAGTTTTATTTTCAGTAGTGTAGACAGAGCAAATAAACATAGCTATTAACACCAAAGAACTCCAGAGACCAGCAGTCAGTAAAGACCAGCAGCAGAGAGAGACAGCACCTGGCCAAGTCGACTTACAGTGTTGAGCACAAGCTGGCACTGGACAGTGATAGCTGGCAGTGGTGGAGACACAGTAGAGCTGACCTATAGTCTTCAGCACAAACTGGCATCAGATGATGTCAGTGACAGTGTCCAGCAGCCAGCTGCATCAATTGTTGGCATCCAGCATTACCTCGTGTCACTTGGTAACATTGGAAGTGCTAGCACAGCTGCACTTTGCTAATTTATGATTTCCACATGAATTAAGCAAAAGAACCCCAAGCTAGTTGGCAACACCGTTGTGATCTTCCTGCCTCAGCATCCCAGAGTAATTGCATTACAGTTCTGTGATGGCACACTTGGCTCAGAGGCTTTTAACTTTTCTTGAGACTTATAACTTTGTTTTATTTTCTATTTTTAAAAGCAGAATCTGTTTGTGTAGTGCAGCCTGACCTAGAATTTGTGATTCTCTTGCTTCAGGCTTGGATTATGTGTATGTACCACTCTTGTGGTTAGATCTAATATTCTAAAAGTCTTGTATTTATAGGTGATTTGGGAAGGTAACTGAATCATGGTGGCACTGTGCTCATCAGTGGATTAATCTATTTTGAGTACCTGGCTTTTTTTTATACGAGATAGATCAAAGGAGGTGGGTAGCTGGGGAAAGCACCATGAAGTCTGTATTTTTGTCCCTGGCTTCTCTTACTTGCTACTTCCTTACCACCATACTGTCAGCAGCTTCCCTCCTCCATTTTCTTTCACCATGCTCGTTCTACAGGAGCCCACTGACTACGGGCTGGAGCTACTGGAACAATGAACCAAAACAAATCTATACTGTTATTTTGGATATTGTTGTCATGTGTTAGTGATTAATACAGCCACTATGCTTGGCTCTACCTCAGGGTGTTTCCACATGCATTTCTTCGAGGAATGCTGTGATTCAGCTCCTCACATGTCTCCCTCAATCCCATATCTGCTGCAAATCCCCTCTTTAAAGAAGCCTTCCCAGATTGCATTGTTTACATAGTTTCCTTCATCATTCTTTCTTTGTAATGTTTTGTTTTTCTTTATAGCAAACATCA